GCTAGCTCAGGGCCTAGTATTAATAGACATTCAATAAATGTTTGCCTTTGGTGTGAGAACTCTCCCTGCCAATATGGGAACTCTTTCAACCAACTGCATGTAGATCTCAATCAATAATTTATAGCTTTAGATTAGGGGGCTCTTAATCTTTTCTGTATCATGGACCCCTTAGACAGTCTGGTGTGGACCCCTTCTCAGAATTGCATTTTTAAATAATTGAAGGAAATGCTAAGAAATTAATGAAAATAAATGTAATTATTTTTGCAAACAAATTCATGGACTCTCTGGAATCTATCCATAACTCTTGGGGAGGGGGTTAGAAGAGAGAGATTGTATGGACTTCAGTTTCAGAATGTTTATCTTTGATGGTTGACTGAGTCTCAGCAAAATTAAGTGACTAACTTATGGTTTGCTTAAGTGTCAGAAGCCCAGGTCTTCCTTACTCCAGGTCCAGAACTCTTGACGTTTATTGAATTGAAAACTGAATTGAATTGAGTGATTGGGAATGTCCATTCATGGTTAGAGTCCCCATTTCTGTACTGGTTTAGCTCAATTGGTTTAACATGGTGCTAATGAGGTCAGGGTCATGAGTATACTCCAAGGTAAGACATTTAACTTTCTTCTTCATCAGAGTACTACACTGCACCCTGAGCCCCAGCTAATAATCTCACAAGGCAAGGATAATAGTCATTAGGGAAACTGAGCAAAAGAATAAGAACCAATCAGTACAAATATATCCCAAGCATTAGAAAAATGACTGGGATAACATACCCTGTGGATAGTGGGTCAATAGTGACATCTTTGTGTGGAACCAGCATTTGTTTCTTTGGATCCATGATTTAATTGGTTAAAAAAAAAGAATCTGTGCTGTGAAAACTCCCTCTACTAAGGCGTATCAGCAAGGTACCTGTTACTACAGCTAGGTCTTGCTTAATGTGGACTTTCTGCAGACCTGCCCCCTTGCAGGGCTCCCCATGGCTCCATTCCATCTGGGGCTCTGCAGCCTCAAACCCCACTGCAAATTTGAAGCTAAGTCTAAGTTGCTGCTGGAACCTGCAATTTGCCTATTTGAATTTGTTGCCTGGGAGCATTGAAAGGTTAAGTCATTTGTCCATGGTCAGACAGTAAGTATATGTCAGAGGCAGAACTTGAACCAGGTCTTCCTGATTTCAAGGTCAATTCCCTCTATGCTTTGCCATCCAGTCTCTTTAAAGAGGGTGGGGGTGGAGGGAAAGAGTTGCTTCTATTAGAATTTTTACTTGAGCTGCCTAAATTTTTTTCAGGTCTGGAGTTTATAATAACAATAAATATTGAGGGAGCTAGGTGGCACAGTGGATAGAGCACTGATCTTGGAGTCAGGAGGACCTGAGTTCAAATCTGGCCTCAGATACTTACTAGCTGTGTGACCCTAGGCAGGTCACTTAACCCTGATCGCCTCTAAATAAGTAAATAAATAGTTATATAGCACTTTAAGGTTGGAAAAGTACTTTACACATATTATCTTATTTGATCCTTAAAACAAGCCTGTGACATAAATGTTATTTTTATCCTTATTTTACAGATAAGGAAACATGGATTAAGTAACTTGTCCAGCATTACACAGCTAGTCAATGTCTGAGGTAGAATTTGAACCAAGGACTTCCTGACTCAAAACCTAATGCTCTATCCGCTCCACCACTTAGCCATCTCCTATGAGCTAATGCTAATTTTAAAGTTGCCCTAAAGTGAAGACAAGTGGCATGGAAGTTCAAGCACCAACCTTGGCACTGGATTTCTCCTGAATTCCTTTGTCGTCCTCCATATGATCAATTTGTAGAGATGAAACATCTTCTGCTAATGTTTGATGGACTGGCATACTCTGTGGATCCATCAGGATTTCATAGGGCACCATAGGATGCTTCCAGGAGGCAGATGTAAAAACATCCCAGAGCTCACTCTGTCCAAAAGTCCCTAAGAGGAAGAAACCTCATTGAATAAGATGACAGGAAATCATCTGCTCTCAAATTATGGATGACTCAGTGCTAAGATCCCATGTGTCTCCTTTATAATCAATTAAGGCTCGTTATTTGACCACGCTGAAGTTCATCGTATGTACTTCTATATTAAAAAAATCCCAGGGAAAATGGCCTCAGGAGCACCATTGTAGTAAACTTCATTTACAATCCAAGTCATCCAACATGTCTGCTGAATATCCACAGTATTAATGTAGTTGGATCATAGAAGAACAAAGGCAGGACATTGGGAGGGCGAAGGTCCCCGTCCTAGCTCTGCCACCCATATGTCACTTAACCTTGGTGTCCTCATCTGTAAAATGGGAATGAATAAATGAGCTCGTCTGCCTTCAACAGTTGGTACAAGGCTCACATGAGGTGATGCTTGTGAAAGTGCTTTGCAAACTGAAAGTGTCCCACAAACATGTTATTATGATTGTTCTCAATGGGATATAGTAAGGACAGATATAGTCCTAGCCTTAAGGGCCGTGAAGCTAGTGGCAGAGTGGGTAGAGTGATGGGCCTGCTGTCATGAAGACCTGAGTTCAAATGTGGCCTCACTTACTAACTGTGTGACCCTGGGCAACCTCTTAACTTAACACTTAACCTCTGTTTGCTTCACTTTCTTTGTGGGGATAATAATAAGACCTACCTTCCAAATTGTTGTAAGGATCAAATTTGTAAAGCCCTTAACACAATGCCTGGCACATAGTAGACACTATATAAATGTTACCTATTAATAAAGGAGATAGACGACCCACTGGCAACATGCACACAGATCCTCCACACCAGACAGTCTCTTTTAATATACCATCATTCTCTTTTCCACCTCTTTATCTTTGTACCTCTTTTATGCTCTCACCTTGCCTACATTGCATTATTTTTATTCATGTACTTATTTTGTCTAAGTTCCATGAGGACATATTTTTTTTTGTTTTGTCCCTAGTACAATACCTTACATGTAGCAAGAACTTAATAAATATTTCCTAAGTAAAATGCTAAAGTAATTAGGACAAGGATTGTGTATATTTGAAAAGGGGCAAAGTTAACTGAGGAAAACTTCCTAGAGAAGGAACTTACTAGGAAACTGAAAGGAAAGGAGGAATGTGGTTTATGCCATACTTGTGTAAAAGTGTGAGGAAAGGTTCAGAGGAAGACAAGAGGCAAGCCAGGAAGCAAGAATTTGAGCTTAGGAACAGGGATGAGAGCAAATATGCAGAGCTATAACCAGCCATTAGGGCACCTGAGGCAAGCACTCAAAATTGCCTCACAAGCAAGCAGCTTAAAAATGTGCCTTTCAAATGAACTTTAAGACAAAATTCAGTTGGGAGTGTGAGGTGACTTAGAAAGAGACTTCAACTTCAGATTCAGCTAGGTGGTGCAGTGGATGGAGAGCTGGACCTAGAATGAAGAAGACTGGAATTCAAATCAAGCTTCAGACAATTGCTAGCTATATGATGCTGGACATGCCATTTAATCTCTGTCTGCCTCAGTTTCCTCATCTATAAAATTGGAATAATAAGAGTACCTCCCTGATTACTGGGAGGATTGAATGAGATATTATTTGTAAAGTGTTTTGCACACCTTAAAGCACTATATAAATGCTAGTTGGTATTATTGTTTTTGTGGTTTTTATTTCAGGACACTGCCTCATGGGAAGCAGGAGATACAGAGACAGAAAATTCAAGATACCAGTAGATACTTTTGAGTAAGCTGCTGCTTGGTTGGGAAGGCCACAGAGTGGTACTGGGTTGCCTAGGAGGTCACCTAGGGATTCTTGATAATTTCTAAGTTTCTCAGCTCATTGAAGAATCTTATGTGCTGTCAATGTCATCTAAATTTCAGCACCCATGGGCAAAGTCCCAGTAAACCCACCTTAGTTATGGCTCTTCAAATAGGTGAAAACTGCCATTATTAATTTGAAATCTATAATTACTTGTCTACTCTTGCTATTTGTGTTGAAGGGGTTCCAGGCTAAATGAAACAGCTACAAATATTTACTCAATACTTCTTATCTACACTGTGATAAATTTTAGAGGAGATTCAAAGATGAGAGAAGGAACTTACACTCTAATGGAGGAGGGGGAGACATAATGTATACAAATAAGGATGATACCTTATAAAATATAATTTGGCAAAGGAGTGATCAAATCAAAATTACAAAAGATTCATCAGCCAGAGGTAACAAATCCTTAAATAAGATGATGGTCTTAATCAGATGTTTTCTTTCAAGTTGTTTCTAGATTTCAAATATTCTCATCTGTAGAAATACAATTCCCAACAAAACTTATCACCATCAGTCTAACTGGATTTCTCAGCTTAACTGTCTGAGGGATTCCCACATTGGCCAAGTGGAGTTAGATTTTGTTCCCCCAGGAAATGATTTCCTCAGGTGGTTTTCAGCCCTTCTTCTAGGAAACAGTGTATGTGTGTCTCACACTAAACCTGATCTTCTGCATAGGTGGGTGTGGAAATTCCATACCTATGTACTCTCCATCCATGCTCCATAGACGAACTGTACAGTCAACGGAGGAAGACAATAGAGCCTTTTCTTTCTCTATCAGCTCTAAGCTAATGAAAAGAAAAGAAACAGATGATAAATTCACTATAAGAAAGCAGAGAGATTTTTCTAGGATGATAACCGTCAACTAAATGAGACCAAGAATCAGAGGATCATGGAATCAATAAGTCAACAGTCCTTTAATAATAACAATAATAAGAGTAAGAATCATGGCTGACACAAATATAATGCTTTAAGCTTTGCAAAATGTTTTCTATACATAATCCCACATGAGCCTCAAAGCAACCCTATGAAGTAGGCACCCATTGAAGGTGTTATTATCTCCATTTTACAGATGAAGAAATGGAGGCCCAGATAGGTTAAGCCCATAGTCACACAGTTAGCATATCCCACAATACAAGGAAACATGAGCCACAAGTAATCTCTTAAATTGTGCAATTTCTTCTAGCACAGCTCCACTTCTTTCAGTATCTCCTAGGATACATCCTCCTCCAATTATATCCTGGCCTCAAATATCAAATAATCAAAGAAAGCACCCTGCAAACAACTAAGAAATAGTTGTTAGCTAAGAAATAGTCTTCTGGTCTAGTGGAAAAAATCCAGAATTGAGAATTAGTTCAAGCTTTGCCATTGACTCCTAGTGTAATTCAACAAATTTCATGTAGCAAACATTTATGAAATATCCTCTACATTCAGGTCCCATAAGGCATCTGGGAATACAAATGTTCCCAAGGAGATTACCATCAAATAGGGGAGATAAGACAAATCACTTAAAATATCAATGGTTAAAATGAGATAATATTTGTAAAGTACTTTGCAAACCTTTAAGTGCCATGTGAAAGCTAGATATTATTACTATTACTACTACTGAAAACCAATATCCATTAATTCAGAGGGAGTCAAGGAAATAGAGAACATTGTTGAACAACTAGTTTTAGTGTTGTGGAGAAAAGTTTGTGTCTATTACTTTGTCAGAAAAACAAGGATAAGACTAATTTCCTCACTGGTTTGTTGTTGTTATTCAGTTGTTTCAATCATGTCCAACCCTTCTTGTCTCCATTTGGGATTTTCTTAGCAAAAATACTGGAGTGGTTTGCCATTTTCTTCTCTAGCTCATTTTACAGGTGAAGAAACTGAGGCAAACAGAGTTAAGTAACTTGCCCACAGTCACATAGCTAGTAAGTGAGGTTAGACTTGAATTCAGGTCTTCTTGACTCCAGGTCTGGTACTTCTATCCACCGCACCACCCAGCTGCTCTTCCCACAAGAGGGATGTTGAAATGATAAATGAGAGAAAAGCTGGAAAAATTCTTTTAGCTGCTAGCTAGAAGATACAGTAGAAAGAGCAATGTGCCTACTGTAAAATGTAGATAATAATAGCACCTATCTCCCAGGATTGTTGTGAGGATCAGATGAGATACTATTTGTAAGGAGCTTAGCACAGTAACTAGCACATAGAGGTCACTTAGTAAACGCTTGTTCCCTTTCCCTCCTTGTAAGAATGGTGTTAAATAAACAGGATATTATTTTCCTCCAGCTTTTCTAAGCTACAGATAGATACTCACGATGTTAGTGCATTAACATGGGCTCGCCAGAACTTGACATCTGTAGCAATATAAAGAATATATCTAAATAAAATGAGACCAAAAACCCATTGATTTATTTGTTTCCTATTACAATTAACACGTGAAGTCATTTCACATCCTTCACCTATGGCTCTAAAGACAAAGAAAAATGGAGGTAAAACCTGGACAAAAAAAAAAAAAAGCAGAAAGACAAGAATTTCATACCGGTTCCTTTGAAAGAGATTTGGACTCACGTGGACCTAAGTAATACATTCTAACCAGGCTTTCCTCATGGGCATCATGACCAACAACAAGAACCACCATTTCCTAAGCAGACTTTCTGGACTGAGCCTCTGAGATTCAGGACCCATCCATGAGAGGAGACTAGGGCCACTAATCTAGGATTCCTGAACCTTACTTAAACCTCTGGTCTGAAACCGCATGGCTAGGTCAAAACCAAGTGAGTCCATAGAGGAGATGGGCAAGGGGCTAAGGACAGGGGCCAGGACAAATGAGCAAAATCTGCTATTTTCTCTTCATTCAACATTCATTTCTTTTTTAGTGCCTGCTTTATGTAAGGCACAGGGCAATGGGGTCAGAGAGATACAAAGAAGTATGGAATACAGTTCATACTCTCAAGATGCTCATATGCTAGTTCTGGTCAATGACGGATTTTTTTCATTGCACATTAGGTTGTCACTTAATTAAAATTTTCATTTCAAAAATAGTCTTGCAAATAGCCATTTGCCCAGGGTGAGTGATGGTGAATGACAGAAAGGTAAGGCAGAATTCTAGATTCTAATTTGAATGACAACTAGGGATGCTTCCCAAATTATGTGAACTGATGCAAAGTGAAGGAAGTAGAACCAGGAAAATAACTACAATGACTAAAACGGTATAAATGGAAACAAATTAAAACAAATGCAGTTTAATTATAATGACAAAGCTTAGTCCTAAAAAAAGTTTAGAAAATGCTCCTTCCTCCTTCCTTTGAAGAGGTGGGAGACCATGGGTGTAGAACATAGCATGCACCATCGTACTTAGTCAATGTAATGGTAAATTTTGCTGAATTTCTTCCCTCTTGATCCTTTCTTTTTCTATTGTTTCAGAAAGTAGATGTCTGGGTAGGGGAGGGAAAGAGATATATTTTTAAATGAAGGTTATGTAAAAATAAAATATCAGTAAAAGCTTTAAAAAAAACAAAGAAACCTTACTATGGATGCTTTCCGTGAAGAAAAGCAGGGATTAGAAAAGAAAAGGGGAAGATAGTGAGTGGCAATTATGTGCAAGAGAGGTTTGAAATTCAAAGTTCTCATCATCTCTGGCCTGGTCTATTGTAATAGCTAATTAGATTCTTCGCCTTGTCTCTTGCCACTCCAATATGTCCTCCACTCAGCTGGCAAAGTGATTTTCCTAAAGTGCAAGTCTAACCATGTCATTGCCCCTCCCCCCAATTCAACAAATTCCATTGGCTCCCTATTACCTCCGGGATCAAATATAAAGTCTTCTGTTGAATTTTCAAAGCCCTTCACAACCTGGCCCCTTCCTACCTTTCCAGTCTTTTTACACTTTACTCTTTTCGCTATACCTTTTGATTTAGCTATGCTAGCCTCATTGCTATTGTTTGTATAAGACGCTCCATCTCCACACCTTTACAATGGCTGTCTCGTATGCCTGAAATACTCTCCTTCCTCACTCTCCCTGACTTCCTTCAAAACTCAGCTCAAATCTAACCTTTTGCAGGAGGTCTTTCTAGCTCCTCTACACCACCACATACTATTCCCTTTCTCTCTGAGGTTACCTTCCATTTACTCTCTCCATATTTTGTCAGTACCTAGTTATTTACATGTAACCTCCCCAATTAGACTAGGAAGTCTCTGAAGGCAGGGACCTTGTTTTTGCCATTCTTTGTATCCCCAGGATTTATCATAGTATCTGGAACACAGAGAGCACTTAATAAATGCTTCTTGACTGACTGATTGATAATCTGTTCTTTCCTCCCAAAAACTACTTGGACCACAATATTCTTTAAAAAAAAAAAAGACCCCTGAAAAAAAGTCCTACTTTTGGGTGGTTCTTGCTCAGGTCCCTCAAGGGCATAGTCCCTGATATCATAGATGTATACATAACCCAGCTTGTCTGCCACATAGGCACAGGTGTCTCCTGTCGTCACCACCATGCTGCTGATCTGGGATTTTCCTCTGGACTGGAATGAATACAAATACATGGTGCTCATTAAAAGACCATTCATTTTTACCAAACAGTAGCTTATTATATGCTGTCTGAAACCATTTAAAATGATAATTCATTACTCTGCCTGTATCAGTGCTGGAGAATCAGGAAAAATATTCTCAAGTTCAAATAAAGCAGGCAGTCTATGCCTTCTGAAAACTGTTAAAAGCCAGGCAAGATTGATTTTTTAAAAACATTCTTTAAAATGGTTCTGTCCAACTTACAGGTATGAAGCTGGCTATGAGCTGGGCCCCACTGAACAGACTCCAGAAAATAACAGAACCTGTGACAGAAGGGGAATTAAGAATGTCAAATGAATTTTCATTAATTTTTATACGGGATAACTCTAGTGTGAGGAAGTATGGCACAGTGGGCAGAGTGAAGCTCTTGGAGCTAGGACGATCTGCAGTCAAATCTCGCTGCTGAGACTTTCTAGCTGGGTGGACCTGAATAAGTCACTTAAACCTCTCTGGGTCTCTGGTAACTCTAAAACCATCAATTTTAGACAGGCTCCAATATGTAGAAGAGGGAGTTAGTTCTCTCCCATGTGGATGAACTCCCAGGTCCCTGACTCAGTGTAATACCCCCTTAGATTGTATGGCATTGAACAGTTCACAGAGTGTCTTAGTATTCTACCACTGGATCCTCACTAAAGCTCTGTAAAGTAGGCATCATTATAGTTTACATATTGCCTTGGAGATGATTGAATGGGAGCTTGGAGGGGATGAATGGCTGGCCACTACAGCTAGTATATTAGACAGCTAGTACATTAGACAGCTAGTACATGGCAGAGCTCTGCCTAGAGCACAGGTCTTCTGACTCCTTCCTCATCTAGGGTACTTTCTACCCTAGTGTGATTATTGAGTCCCCACAATGTGCAAGAGGCTATTCTGAGTAAATAATACCTGGGCCTTCCAAGAAGCTCATATTCTAATGAATCAAGATGGAGAAGGACTTCCGATGCATTTTTTGTTTGTGTTGTTGTTGTTTTAATCAAAAGACAAGCTCTTCATCAGTCATGATATGAAGTTCTGAATCCCCTCTCCCTAATCCTTACTCCCAAATATCTCAGTGTTTTAGGCAGCTACCCTACAGAAAAATTCATATATCTATATATTTGCATATGCATATATCTATACATTTGTATATCATATGTCATACATGTGACATACAGCACTCATATGCATAAGTATATGCACACATATATGTATGTGTATATATGTGTGTATATATACATATGTGTGTGTATATATATATATATATAACATATATTTATATATGTATACACACACACACACACAGTTATCCCTACCACATTGTGACTTTTCCCATTGCAGTTTCAATATATTGTGAGTTGGCATAAGAAATTAAATGGGAATTTTGTGGAGTTTTGTGGAGGTCACAGATGGCATGCAAAGGCCAGTAGATGACACAGAGCCTATGACCAAATACTCAACCCAAATTTTACAGTAAGGTACTGTAAACACCCCATAAAAGAAAAAGAAAAAAATTCAAACTTCTTCTCTGGTATGAAAGGAGGGACAAATTTTTTGTGCAGATTTTCCAGATCACAGGAGCATCGCATCCCTAGTCCTCATGATATAGAAGGGATAACTACATATACACACATCTATCTATCTATTATTTATTTATTCATTCATTCATTTAATCATTTATTTACTTATCACAAATATTCTCCAGGTGGTTTGATTCAGTTGTCAACCTTCGAATCAATTACCAAGCATTTACTAAGTACCTACTATGTTCTAAGCACTGCTTGACAAAAATGAAACAATTCCTGCCCTTGGGAAGTTTCCACTCTACTTAGGGGAGACAATGTGTGCATGTAAAAGTATAATCAAAATATACAGGATATCCCAAGTTGCAGTTTTAATTACTGAACTAAGACTTTTGTTACACCTGTATATAAGAGAGGTATAAGGTAATGAGAGAACACTGATAACGGAGAGATTAGGAAAGGCTTCATGAAGACGACTTCGTGGAGGCTGCTTAAGCTGCTCCTTGAAGGAAGCTGGGGATTCTAAGAGGCAGAGGTGACAGGCATGGAGAACAGCCAGTGCAAAAGTATGGAGATGAGAGATGGCGTATCTTAGGAGTGGCAGAAAGCCAGTTTTGTTAGAATGTAGAATATGTGAAGGGGAGAAAGCACCCAAAGGTAGGATGGACCCATGTAGGGAAGGACTTTAAATGCCAAACAGAGGAGGTATAATTTATTCCAACGGGTAATAGAGAACCACTGGAACTTAGTGAGTAGGGGAGCGACAACATCTGACTCATATGTTAGGAAAACACTTTGGCATATGTGTGGATGATGGGTTGGAGAGGAGAGAGACTTCTGGCAGGAGAATTAAAGGTGAAGGTGACTCAAAGGCAATGGTGGGTATAACTAGGCTGCAACATATTGCCCACAATGACCCATGCACAGGAGGTGGCATAAAGGATATAATCCAGGGAATGTATGACTGGAAAAGGAGCTGGGTTGGTGATGCATTGTGTATGAGTAATTACAGATGGGCAGCCTGGATGCTGAACTGGCTTCCATACAGTGAAAAAGAATGAGAGGACGGCCTCTAGCACTTTGGGTATTGAGCAAGTATTGCACAGGATGAAAGGTATGGAGGAGTGGCCATTGCACCATTGGAAGGCATGTGTTGACATATACTCCCAGTTAATCAGGATAAGTTTCCAGAAGAAGGTGAGTTCTGCAGTCAGCTTCAGTTGGAGACATAGGAGAGTGGGATTAATTACTTGACAATATTAGTTTATTTTTAAAGTTTCTTATATAAATGCACTTTCAGATGTGTTCTGGAAATGGTGTGTGCTTTGAACTTTTATATCTCTGATTATTTTATTTCCTCTCTCTGAACCTCAGTTTCCTCGTCTGTTAGATGAGGACAAGATTTCTAAAGTCCCTTCCAACTCTAACATTCTATTACTTTGTATTTCAAATACAAGAGCTTATGCTCCAAAGCTTCCTCCTCCTAGAGAAACTCTCTGAAGAAGCTTTGAACCTAATTATCCTTTTCAGGTTAGTATTTTCATTTATCGGATTTTCCAAATGGGGCACACTCCCCACCCTGACACATGCTTAGAAATTAACTGGCCATTCTTTACCCTCAAGCTACATAAAATTCTCTACTCCTCTTTCCAGGATAAGAACTCGTGGTTCCCAATCCAGGTTGGGCAGAGATGCTACAGAGCAGAGGCTGGAGATCGAGTCATCCCTAGGATATACGTAACTGGGCCTCACCCAGACAGTGAGTGCTAGATAAGATCTCAAGCCCTAAGCTCCCATTATTGCCAAGGCAAAGAGCCATCCTGCCTTGTTACTTGCCTCTTTTATGTATATGCCTCAGGCTACTTTTGGTCTTCTTGTGACATCTTTCTCCCTGTAAGGCTGCCCTTTATGCTTACTCTAACTTGGTATTCAATTCACCCTGCCCCTACCCAGGGATAACCAGAAGATAGATGCGTGACTCAAGGCATCTGGACTTGCTTGTTAAGAGATATTTGATGTGAAGGGATATGTCGTGTGAACAGGCCTCTAGAATTAACTGTCTAGCTTCTTCCTGCTAATAGGGGAGTCTAGCCAGTCAAGCATCCATCAAAATAGGATGGGCCATAGCAGGAAATCAGTGGGTACCTAGTAAATATGTTCAGGGCTGTTCCTTGCAAAATGTGTCTTTGGTAAACTGCTGAAGGAAAATCAATTTATAAGAGAAACAGCTATTTTGATGACATTTCCTGTTCTTACCTTGGGGCCCATTGGAAATGAGAGAAGCAGCTTTTGATTCAAATTTGGCTGCACGGGTCTTTAGGAATGTGAGATGAGAAACACTTCTGTCTGTAACATGAGATAGGGAGAAAGGCATAAAACACACATCTATCTGCAAACAGAATTGTTCCCAGGATTACCTCCTGCAAATATGACAGCTGATGAAGGTGAGGAAGCAGCTCCTTTGGCCATGCTGATTGCAATGCTGACTGATCTAATGGTCTGACCAACAGTTATTTGCCCAGTAGCCATGGGGTCCAGCCAAAATATGAATGCTAATGGGCAAAATTGAGCTAAGGGGCATTCCTAGTACCACTGCTCCCATCTTCAGCCCTCTTGAGGAGGCTCCAGTTATGGAAAATAGTGATTTCCTTGGATTTTCTTCCCCTTCAATGGGAAAAAGGATAGAATTCAAGGGATACAAGTCATACAAGGGATATAGTCAATAGTTGAGCTAATGGTCAATCCAAAAGACAGAAATCCTCCAGATCTTTCAAATCTTCGTCTCAAGCCTTCATAACTCCAAATCTAACACTATACACTGCACTACCCAGCTGTATTAACATCCCCATTTTATAGACAATTGCATGCCATATCTTTTTTTCTTCTTCTTGACTTTTCTTTTAAACTAATTTGACTTTTTTGATGAGTCAGTGGTCTGACTATATACACACAGCTGAGCCAGGGATAACTCCCACATCAATAACAAGTCTTTTCCTGTTTGTTAATATAATACTGAGTGTAAATGCATTAATCTATTATCACTGTAGTAGAGTTAGGGCTCTGAGAGAACTAGTCACATTACCAGGAGAGTTAGCGGTGGTGGTTAATAGGAGATGGAGAAGGTTTGGAACATTCACCCACCCAGCCAAGGTAGCCCTAATGTGATAGACCATGAGATAGGAAGAGAGGACTGAACAAATGAGTTTCTGCTAATGGGAGATCTGAAGGGTCAGGGCAGGAACTAAAATAGGATGAACCAAACATTGAAGACAAATCTCACCTACTTTATGACAGTGTTAATAACCCTTCTCCTTCCAGAGCTTTTGTTTCCTTTACGTTTTATTATGTAATATAATTTTGGCAATAATATAATCACTCATATTTCTTCAATGCTATGAGATTTATATACCACTTTCCTTATAACATCATTGGAAAGTAGGTCTTGTAAAGATAGTTACTTCTATTTCATACATGAAGGAGGCTCAGAGAGATGAAATAACTCCACAAAGGTCACTCAGATAATAAATAGCAAGGTCAGGACTACAATCCAGATCTCCATACTTTAGATCCAGTGACATCTTTTTAAAAATCTCCATTGAATTTATGAATTTTGCCTTCTCCCTAATGGTTACTATTCCCAGGTATGGGCTACATTAGTCAGCCAGCGAACAAGCATGTATTAAGCACTTACTATGTGCTAGACACTGTGCTATGTGCTGAGGATACAAAGAAAAGGCGTAAAAAACATCCATACCTTTAAGGAACTATGCACTAGAATTTTAGCTGAGATTTAAGGAAGCCAGGAAATTCAGGAGATAGAGATGAGGAAGGAGAGCTTTCTAACCATGGAAAACAGATAGTGAAAATGCCTGGAGTTGGGAGATGGGCTTCTATGAGGAACAGCAAGGAGGCTAGTATCACTAGATTGCAGAGTGTGGAGGGGATGTAAGTGAAAGAAGACTGGAAGAGTAGGAGGGACAAGATTATGAAGAGCTTTAATAGCCAAACAAATGACTTTATATTTGATCCTGGAGGATAATAAGGAACCACTGGAGCTTATTGTGTGTGTGTGTGTGTGTGTGTGTGAGAGAGAGAGAGAGAGAGAGAGAGAGAGAGAGAGAGAGGAGAGAAAAGAGAGAAGAGAGAATAGGGAGGGAGGGAGAGAGAGAGAAGAGAGAAGAGAGAGGGAGAAAGAGAGAGGAGAGGAGAGGAGAGAAGAGGAGAGAGAGAGAGAGAGAGAGAGAGAGAGAGAGAGAGAACCAGATAGATCTGCACTCTAAGACAATCACTTTGATATCTGAGTGAAGGATGGACTGATGATGTGAGGAGAGACCTGAGGCAAGGATACCAACCAGCAGGCTATCGCAATAATCCTTGCGTGAGGTGTTAAGAGTCTATACCAGAGTGGTTGCAGTATAAGAAAATGGTCTATTTCAGAGATGTTGTGAAGGTAGAATTAAAAAGACTTGGCAACAGGCTGGTTACAGGCTGTGAAAGAAAGAAAGAAGTTAAGGATGACACTTAGTTGGAAGCTTGGGTAAGTGGGTGGATAGTAGTATTCTTTGAAGTAATAAGGAAGTTGACTGGGCTCTACAACAGACCCTGGTCCACCAGACAAATTTGATTCCAAGTCTAAATCTTCTTAAGAGGCAGTTAGGTGGCTCAATAGATAGACCACTGGGCCTAGAGTCAGGAAGACTTATGTTCAAATCTGGCTTTAGACACTTAGCTGTGTGACCTTGGGTAAGTCATTTAACATCTCTCAGTCTCAGTTCACTTATTAGATGGGAATAGTAAGAGCTCAGTCTCAGTTCACTTGTTAGATGGGAATAGTAAGAGCAAGATGGGGTTATTGTAAAGATCAAATTAGACAAAACATGTGAAGTGCCTTCCAAACCTTAAAGCACTATATAAATACTAGCATCATTGTATATTCAAACACCAGGCTTTGCCCTTAAACATACCTTCTGGGTCTTCAGAGGGGTGAGTAAGGACAGGTGTGTTTAGCTTGCAATACATGTGTCCTGAGATCATATTCCAAATGATAATTTCCCCATCGTAGCTAGAGGTGGCAAGAAGAGAAGGTGGGCACTGAACCACACATAAGATATCATCCTTGTGTCCCCGGATCTATAAGAATGGTAGGTAGGGAGATAGAGAAAGTGAGACTGAGCAAATAGTCAATCAATCAATGGACATTTGTTGCCTACACTATGTGCCATGCTCTGTGCTAAGAACTAGGGCTACAAAAAGAGGCTCTAAAGGAGAAAATTCAGGAAGACACCTTCCTTTACAACTAGCCGTATGTTTAGGGGATTATTCTGGTCTCTTGTGTGGTTTAATGTAGTCTAGTGGTTTGGGCATCTAGGTGGCACAGTAGATAGAGTGCTGGGCCTGGAGTCAGAAAGACTCATCTTCCTGAGTTCAAATCTGGCCTCAGATACTCACTAGCTGTGTGACCCTGGGCAAGTCACTAAACCCTATTTGCTTCCATTTCCTTATGTCTAAAGTGAACTGGAGAAGGAAAGTGCAAACCACGCCAGTATCTCTGTCAAGAAAACCCCAAATGAGGTCATGAAGAGTTGGACATGTCTGAAACAAATGAATAACAATGGATCCAGGAAAACAAATCTACTGCCTCTCTTCAGGTCAGACAGTGATTTTAGATTAAAGGCAGCTCAGTATGAGAGAAAGAGGATTGGATTTGGAGTCAGAGCATCTGAATCTAACTCCGGCCTCTCTGGGCATGTCCAGTTCTAATGTGGAGATGGCCCTGAGGGGTCTTTGAGCATGCCCAGCGATGAGACTGAGCCATTCACTCTCTTTTCCATCATTTTCGTCTGCTATGCTCTTTTGAGCAACTTTCATCTGCTCCTGCAAGTGTGGATGCCATGAACTGAATGACTAGAAGGGGAAGGAATACCCTTTCTATACTTCTCTCTTTCACTCCTGCTCCAAGGAATGGCCCTGGGGATGTTTGTTTATGTTCTGTGTTATTTGTCCTCAGTTTCAGGTTCCAGAGGCAATCCTCATAGACCTGTGAGTTTGAGTCCTGATGACCTGGGAATCAGTGGGGGAGGAGGATTATACCTCCCACATATTGGAGGAGTAAGTTCTTATATTTGTGATCATGTCTTTAAGAACATATTCCTTTGTAAAAGATCTTATATTACATGCGAGGACTGAACTATTTTCTATTAGAACTTGGTATGCCTAGAGAAGTCTGGGTTACATGAATTTGAATTCTGCCTTTTGCTACTTACCTCCTACTTCCTATGTAATCATGGCCATGTCACCTATAACTTCTCCGGGCCTCAGTTTCTTTGTCTGTAAAAAGGGGGGTGGTATAGAGGATCTCCACAGTTCTTCCTGGTTCTAAATCCCATTATACCCCCTGGTCTCACTTTTCAAATGAAGTCAACATTTCTGCCATCTTTCTTGCTATGTCGGTTGACTTGTAGTATTCACAGAGCACTTGAACTCCTTGCATAGAAAGAATGAACGGAAATGAAAATTCAGCTGCCTTCTTTCTCCTCAGCCTGACTGTGATTTGTCTTGCAGATTGCCACAGAGCAACACAATACTGAACTCTCTAAGGTGGTCCAGCTTTCAGAAAACAACCTCAGCCCTCCATCTGCATGCAAAGCCTTCTGATTACTAAACCTTTTCATACTTTCCACCTGGTCACCGTGGTGGTGAGTGCATGCTGATCAGAATTCAAATGATCTGCTCTTTTCAAAAGGTGATTCTCAGGAAGCTATTAATTATTCTGGGCTGAGTCAGATGGCAGGCAGCCCTTAAGAAAGAAAAGACATTTAAAAATGATCTTCCAAGATTGTCACTGCAGAGTTGTAAAGATTTCCTATGACATCAGGTTTAAACTTTAGCTCTATTTAACTCATCTCTTCTTTTCCAGTGGAGGTACATTGAGTGACAGTTAGTTTATTATGTGTCTATGAAGATCTTGTCAGTTCTGAAGAGACTCCTATTTTTTTCCAAATACCCCAAGAGTGTCCATGTGGGTGATAACTCACTGAGTAGCCTGGTAGTCAGGTGACATATGTTTTGATTCAGTTCTGCCACTAATTTGTGAGTCTGTGAACGAGTGACTTTTCTCAGATGAGATTTAGTTTTCTCATCTATAAAATGAATGGGCTGGACTAGCTGATCTCTAAAGTATCTTCAGGTCTATAATTCTAGTTGGGGGTGGGGAAGGAAAAAGTCTGAAGAAAGAAATCTGGAAAACAGAGGTAGTTTATTTATTCCCACAATTTATTCCCAGTCAGCTGCTATATACCTCCTTATTCCAATGCTCCCTGCTTCCCTTCCTCTCCCCTCCCCTCTTTTCCAACACTGCCCAAGGCTATATGAGCAGCCATGTTTGTATCCCTCGATGTAACCATCACTTCACTGGGCTTGAACACCCCTGGAGAAAAATTGAGCATTTGCTTAGTAGTCTATAGGTTAATCTGTACTTTTTGAAGAGAGGATAGGAGGAGGAAGGGGAGAATTGGAGAAGAGAGACAGAGGGAAAAGGGAAAGAGAGAGAGAGAGACAGAGACAGGGAGAGAAACAGAGAGAGAGAGAGAGAGAGAGAGAGAGAGAGAGAGAGAGAGAGAGAGAGAGAGAGAGAGAGAGAGAAACAATATCCTGTCTTCCTTGGGAGCTTAGCTTAGTGATGTGGCATGCTATGAGTTTACCCCTGAATAGTAACAGTGTTACTGACGGAGTACAAGGGACCTGAGAGATTATCTAGTTCTGTTTCACCTTTATAAATGAGAAAGCTGCAATATAGAGAGGTTTTAGTGACTTGACCAAGGTTACACAGGTTGTAAGTAGAGAGTAAGCTCCTTGAGGGCTGGTACTGTATCACTTTTTCTTACATATCCCTAGTGCCTAGCTGGTACATGGTAGGTCCTTGAAAATGGTATTTGATTGATTTAATGGCAAAATCTTTATTTAAATATGGTATTTCTATTTCCAAGTCCAGGGTTCTTTCCCCTTACTACATTGCCTCCCCTCAGACAGCAGGCATGAAGATCATGTAACTCTTCTAGGAACTTAGGGACATTTAGAGTCCTCATTCATATGAAGCACAAAGAGTTCCTCTGGCAGAGGGGTATTAGATTATGGGGTCTAATATTTAGTGTTGGAAAGGGTTGTAGAGATTATGTGGTCTAACCTCCTCATTTTGGAGTTGAGGATGTTGAACTTCAGAAATGTTAGAAGACTTGCCCAAAGTCACACAGATAAGTGTCAGAACCAAGATTTGAACCCTAGTTTTCTGATTCTGAATCTAATGCTATTTCCAGTATATTCTGTGAACCCTACAGGCAAGCAGGCAATTTGAAACCCCTGTGCCCTCTAAGTTTGAACAACCATTTAAGGGAAGAGCATTGAATTTTTACAACTATATACTTGTGGGGGATCCCTGGAGTGAGTGTGTATGTGTCTCCTAGTTCACCTATGATATCCTCATCATCAGCTTCTAGCTCTGCCCATCAACATGATAGGTCAGTCAGTCTGACCCTAGGAGCATGCATGCTCTTTATCTTGCTAGGCAACACCTCAATGTGAACAGTTCTATTCAGGGATAAAGTAATTTAACACAAGTTCCTTTTAGTAGGAAACTTGATCAGCTGGACTTGGGTAGCAGGGCACACCACCATACCAACAATTCTCGGGCACTTTTTCCTTTCCCAGGTAAGTCAATGAAGTTCCAAGGCTCCCTTGGACAAAGGAGACATTCCTTTTTATTCCTACGTTTCAGGGAGTGAATAAGAACTGAAGGTAAAACTTACTAGATCATCCGACCAATGTGGCTGAGGCTTCCAGAAGTGATGGAAGTCATAAGGAGAATCCTGCACCAAAAATCAGAGGACAGACTGTCCATAACATAGACTAGCAGTCAACACAGTCACGTGACAGAGAGAAGGATCTGTCCCACCTCCTAACCCTTCAAAATTCAGCTTCCTGGTCCCCATCACTGATTTAAATCTTCAAAACGTCAAAGCAAAGTCCCCTTGAGCCCATGTAAATGAGAAACAATGCCGTGCAAAAGCATTAAGGTAATTGCATTTCAGCAAATCATATTTCTGGTGACAGCTTTTGTTAGGATGCTGATGATAGTGGGCCAGTCACTGCCCAGTCTTCAATATTACACCTACAGCTATTTATTGCACATTGTGCTATAAACAAAAAAGAAATGTAGCTGAAATACAAGCCTTACACTAAAAAAAGCTGGATAATCAGCTCCCCAATAAGCCTGAGAATGAATGTAAACCTGTCTTCCCAGAAAATACTCTTTCACCTTGTGTTGTGTGAATAGAGAAAGGAAGCATTCATATCTTAAAATAAAAGAATATTTTTCAAATGAATAATTAACTTATGATTTGGAACTGATTTTCTATTATGTCTGACTGTATTATGGAACCATAGCATAAGAGGTTGACCATTCATTTTTGCCATTATTTTTAACCTCTCTGTTTTCTCTACTTAACCTCACTGGACCTGAGACATAGAAAAAGATGGACAAGGTTTTGTTCTTGTCTATTAACAAAGCTATTAACTGATGTGAGTGGCAGAGAAACATACATATATGTGTTTTCTAACTGTGCTAATTTTTAGTGATTCCTTGCTGGTCACATTACTACCCATGTAGACAATGGACTCAGTGACCTCTTAGGTCCCTTACAGCTCTAAATCTATGATTCTCCCTCTCCCCTGCCCTGAAAAACATACTAAAACAAGAAACAAAATGAGCATCTTTATCTCATAGCTGCTACCTAGTGGCTAATAGATTTATTTGAGTTTTGCTTTCTTGATCTTCCCTGGGTCCACCTTTTGATAGCGGGAACAGCGAGCAACAATAAGAACAAGAGGTAACAGGAAGAGAAGCAAAGAGCCCAGGTTAAAATATAGTCTGGATAATCAGCCTCTGAATACTCTTTGGTCATCACCAAACTAGAGACAACTAAAGCTGGTCTTGTCCCTGGGATAAGAGGAAATAGTGCCCTTCAGCACACCAGTTGCCTTGCCTTTGATTGAGATTGCCTTTGGATAATGGAATGGGCAAGTTCAGAGCCCTGTCCCAGGGAATTCTTTGCTACCCCCCATGCCAAGATATTGTCTTTGTCTTTAGCAAAAACATTTTCGAAAAGAAGACCATAACTTTAATTGTATTGGATTCTCAAAGAATTTCATTGGCATTTCAAAGGGAAAAAATTATTCTTCTCATTCTCCTTGCACCTGGTTTCCCTCTAGACATGTATTAGCACACAAGTAGGTAATATAACATGTTTTCTATTCAACAAACATTTACTGAGTACATAATATGTGTGAGGTACTGTGCTAGACTATGAGAGAGAGAAAAAGATGGACAAGGTAGTTTTTTTTGAAAGAAACTCTCTAGGGTAGCAAAGAATTCTTTCCTTAGAAGATATATCCAGAACACAGAACATTTACATAAACACTTTGGGGGCATAGTCTTCCCTATAGAGGGGGGTCAAGGGGTTAGGCTCAAAATTGATCTTAGTTCTTATATAGCATTGATCCCATCAAATTCATGCCAAGTTGAAGCATGACTGATGGATGAGCCTCCCTCTCAGTTGCCTGTGGGATAGGTTCCTCAAAGTCAGTCAGCCAATCAACTAGCATTTATTTAGTGCCAGGCACTGTGCTAAGTCATGGAAGCTCACTCCCCCAAATCATTTCTTGTTCTTCAGGATGCAGATACAGCAAAACTGAAACTCTGGAATGACAGGATGCTGAGGACTCCTCTGTGACTTTAGAAGGCACTGAGTCACAGATTCCACTACCTTTAACCCAGAGGTTCCCCCATCCTCACTCCTCCCCGATAGAGTGCTAAGGCCAAGAGGTAGAGGATGAAGATGAGAAGTCTTTTTTAATTAATCTGTAGTCAATAAAATGCCTTTTCTTCATCATGTGGTTAGCTGACTGAAACCAGTAATAGAATGTCTGCACATGTTTCACAGTCTGCCTTTCCAAGGCAATTCTCAAATTATCCTGTAAGACATGCCCTGGCATTCTCCATGTGGAAAGAAGTCATTTTTTCCTTAGTGGCTTCTACCTTGAGATGCCGTCTAGGGTGCTCTGAGCATGCACCAAACCACCACTACATGTATAGATGTAAACCCAGGGCGATTTGGCAGTCCATGAAGGACAGCCTTGTGATACTGCATACTGCATCGTTTAGGGTGATGTCACTCTTGACTGGCTGAGAAATTGCCAAGAGAAAAGAGAAATAGAAGAGAAAAGAAGGGTTAAGGAGAAAAGGCACAGACTCTGAATGGGGAATGGGAGGCCCCCAGAGCCGTAGGCATTTAGGGAAGAGCTGGCATCCTAATATATTCCTCTAATGCTGGTGCCTGAGCCCTGGGGACTGCTAAGAACAGGCTTTTTAGGTGAGGTCATTCATTCCTCAGTTGAACTGAAATTTCATCTCACTCCCTGGACACAAAGTCCTCTTTATTTTTGTGTGAACTGATCTCCATAGCTTCCCTATTAATGTTTTTCTTGTATGCTCCAATAAATTTATTTACTTGCTATCCATGATTGTATTTTGTGTGATAATCATTTGGAGGAAAAGGAGAGAAGCTGGTCATGGCTATGCTAATTGTTACTCTCCATGTTTCAGGTAAAATTATTTCCACTCTCCACCCCCACCCCCTTAACGGTCAGGTAAAATGGCTTTCATCCTAAACACCCGCCCCCCCCATTATATCCTTTGACTGCAAATAATTGATGTGTAATAGATGTAAGTCATGGTATGCATAAAGTTCAAGTTAGTCTCTATCTTACAGAAACTGAAATGGCTGAAAGAATACATCTCTGCTCTTTAGGTTTTTGAGTAGAATGAAGTCTGTCTTGGAAAAATGGAAGAAGAGTTTCATGGAAGAGATAAAGAAGAAAATGGATCTCAATGGTCAAAGGTCAATCCTAACCTATGTCAGGATGTCTAATGGTGGAATAATGTGGCACAACAATGACCATTGAACATTTGGAGTTTAATAATAACTCTGGGTCACTTTACATGGAGAAGGGAACCAGATCATCTCAAGAAGATGGGCCTTCTAGTCCTATAAGGAAAAATCATGTAAATCCATTGGAGTCAATAGGAGATGAAGACTAGTTGCTCATGACTTCCTAATAAGGGGTTATTGAGGATATAAATAATATGGGTTGTCTGGAGCATATTTCTGGTTCATGATGGAGGCTTCTGAAAGCTGTCAAATATGATAGCCATTACCTACTTCTGATGATTTACATTGGGACAATTACATCACCAGGAAGAATCTAGAAAGCATTGCTGAAGATTACAAAGTCCTGAGGAAAATAAAAAAAATTGAAGGCCTTAGGGACAAAGTGGTAGTTTCAACATCATTGCTTTTTGAAGGTAGAAGGTTCAGAAAATAAATGTGAATTTAAGGAGTGAACAGAAGATTTAAGAAGATAGTGTCTGAGAATGAGATTTTGATTTTATGAATTTCAGCTTAAAATACAGTAACGATTGGCTTTTGAGAGATGGAATGTACCTGATTAGGGTTGGTAAAAAAAAAATATTTTGTTTGGAATCCTCTGAAGGACTTTAGCCTCTAGGCTCATTTTCTTAACCCACATTCCAAATAACAAGTTGGGTCCCCATAGCATGTCTGTTTATATATCCCTTCAGGGTCCTAGAGATAACTCAGAAGGATTAGGGTATCTTTCTAGTACTATTGTCCATGAACCCCCATCAAGTTAACGTTTCCTCAGTACCATCTAACCAATCATTAATACCATGATATCCCCATTGGTCTTCCTCAGTATCAATGAATCAGTTAACATCAATTAGCTTTTACAAAGAGATATTTACAGAGATTATGTAGCAAGACCTGATATGCAAAAACTTCTGAGACCTGGAGCATGCTCCTCCCTACCACTTCAGCTGTTGGATCTCTAATATTTTTTTCTGATCTTTCAAAGTTCACAAGGTCATGATCTTGTCCATTCTGTATCTGACACTCATTTATCTAAGATCAAGTAGAAGAGGAAGATACAGAAGAAACAGCAGCTCCATGTGTTTGGGACCACATGGCAACTAGGTGGAGGAAAGACTCCCCATCCGTAGGTTTACAGGATTTTTTTCTTCCTCACTCAAAAGTTATGAGGGGAAAAAAAGATCTTTGGTCTATTTGTGCCTTTTGTATGCACACTCAGTTCTAGCTCGGAGGCTTTTCTTCACTAACACACACAGACTACCTGTACATGTTCTGAGTCAGGGTTTAGCACTTCTATTATACATGCCTAGATGCAGACTCACCAATCCTCCACACAGATCCATACTAGGCAGAGAATACCTTGCATATTCCTAAGGACTAGGCTCTTCTTGGCCAGTCATCCATAATGCCTGTAAATCTGCTTAGAGCTTTAAACTGAAAACTGAAGAGGAAGAAGAAAAATGTTCAAATAGATCTAGATATTATAGAAAGCAGCAGTCACAACATAGAAAGAATAGCAGAAGAAAGAACCACTAGTTCACAAGAAACAATATCCAAAAAGAGGAAGAGCAATAAAAATCATGGATTCGGATCCATAAATTCACAAAATATGGGTAATAAATAGAGTGCACTACAGATCCCAATGCAAGGAGATAAATATGAACTCATGTGGACTATTGAAACTTAATAAGATGTGATTCATGACTGGAATATGACTTAGAAAAGGTCTACCTCATTCAAAAGAAATAAAGTGGATTTAAAAGGTGGGGTAGAGCAGCATTATATACTAAGAAGATAAACTGATTTCAGGAAATCTAGGAGAGAGGATCATACTGAAGAGCATTTGAGCAAAAATCAATGGAGGTAGAAATAGTATCAACATTGTGATAGCTTTATGACCTGGACAGAAGGGAGAATTAGATAAGTTTGCAAAGCATATCACAAACTTGGCATAGAAGTATGATACAGAAGTGATAGGGGACTTCAATTATCCGGATATCTTTTGAAGCCATCTCTCTGCTGACAGTGGAACATCTGACAGATTCCTGACTCGCTTTAATGATTGTTTCATTCTTCAGAGGGAAAAAAAGCCACAAGAACTGGTATTATGGTTCTTATTGACCAACAAGAGGGAATTTGTTGCTAGAGTAGATGTGATTGAAACTGTGGTAGTATGAAATAATTCTGTCTTAAAATTCACTATAGAGAAAGAGAAGATAGGCATAGTCTGACATGCAAAATAAATTTTAAGAGAGTGGATTTTAAAGGGTTCAGTGAAAGGATAGGTGATCAACCACATTAGTAAACAAGCATTTAGTAAATGCCTACTTTGTGCCAGGCACTGGAGATACAAAGATAAATGTGAAACAATTCTTGCCCTCAAGGATATTATAGTCTAACCAGGGGAAACAACACGTATATATGTGTAAGGAGAGATTGGCTAACGAGGGCTATTCATTGGGCAGGAGTTCTTCACCTTTTTTGTGTCATGGACCCTTTTGGCGGTCTGGTGAGGCCTGCAGACCCATTCTCAGAAGTGTTTTTAAATTCATAAAATAAAATACAGAAGATTACAAGGAAACTAATTATATTGAAATGGTTATAAAATATTAAACATAAAAAAACAAGTTCATAGACTATAGGTTAAGAATTTCTGTCTCAGTCCAATAATTTTTTAAAATTATCTCTCCTGGATCTATTTTCCAGGTCAGTTGTTTTTCCAATGAGATATTTCACATTGTTTTCTATTTTTTCATTCTTTTGGTTTTGTTTTACAGTGTCTTGATTTCTCATAAAGTCACTAGCTTCTAATTGCTCCATTCTAATTTTTAAGGAAGTATTTTCTTCAGTGAGCTTTTGGACTTCCTTTTCCATTTGGCCAATTCTGCTTTTTAAAGCATTCTCCTCCTCATTGGCTTTTTGGGCCTCTTTTGCCATTTAGGTTAGGCTACTATGTATGTTAAATTGGAGCTTACTCTCCCCATGGACTTCTTATGTGCAAGGAGAGAGTGTGTGTCCCTCAGTCTGGTGTAAAGGGTATTGTTGCACCTTCTGTCCTTTCTATATCTTCTTTGTAAATATCTCTTTTGTGAAAACTAATTGATATCAGCTGACTGATTGATAATGAGAGGCACATTGGATGGAGGCTTGTGACAGATAGTACTAGGAACTCCTATTTCTCAGGATTACCCAATCCTCAGGGTTACCCTTTGAACCCTGAGGGGAGCAGTAGTCATTGCTCTCTGAAAACCCAACTTGTCAGTGCAAATAGGAGTTGGGAGAATGAGCCCAAAGAGAGAGCTACACCTAGTTTTACAACCTTAGACTATCATTGATTCTTCCCTCTCTCTCAACTCTCATCCAATCAGTCACCAAGTCTTATTGATTTTAGTTCTATAGTGTCTCTCACATATCTGTTCACCTTTCCATTCATGTAGCCTTTATCCTAGTATACATCCTCATCACTTTTCCTATGGACTACTACAACTGCCTACTAATCGGAGCTCATGTTTCCAAGTTCCTCAGAGCTGCCAAACTGATATTTCTAAAACATAGATATGATCATGTTACCCCTCCCTCACCTCTCAACCTCACCTCAAAAATCTTCAGTGATTCTCTGTTGCCTTTAGCATAAAATACAAAATCCTCTGTCTGACATTTAAAGCCTTCCATAATTTTTCTCCTACCTATATTTCTAATGTAATTTCATTTTACTCTCCTACATGCACTCTGTTTCAGTCAAACTGACTTTCTAGATCTTCCTCATTCTCCACCTTTCTGCCTTTGGATACAAATTGAGCTACCTGACTATGCCTTAAACCCAATTCACTCTGACTCTCACTGATTGGCCAATAATAGGTCCCAGGCCAAGCCTCACTTGGTCATTGTTTGGGTTCTGATGGCTCAGAGAGAGTGTAAATAGCAACTGTTTCTGTTCTGGCCAGAAGACCAGAGGGTCCTCCCCTCCCAGGTTGATTTTTTTTTTTTTTGAGTAGACAAACTAGGCCATCTTTTGCCTCTTTTTTCACCTAACCTTAAATCACTGAATCACTGAATAGGTGTTGCCTCAGACAAACTGACACCTGGGAAAGACCTTAGCTTAAAAAGATTAAGATTTCCCCACTACATCTGGGGTCATGTCTAGTTATCCTGACCTATGTATTGCTCCTGGACTCAGATGACTGTGGAGGAGAGAGTGAGTTTGATGACTTTGCACAGCCCTGCCTCACTTAAATCCAATTCACTTGCAAATCAAGACATCACTCTCCTGATGTCATTGGTCCTCTTCAAGAACAAAGGATGAACAACAGCAACATGTGGTCCTCATGTCTGAAATGCATCTGGTACCTCCAACTGATAGAATCCTTAGTTTCCTTTAAAGCTCAGGTGCTACTTTCTATATGGGGACTTTCCCTGGTTTCATCAATTATCCTCTCCTTCTCGAAACTATTTTGAATTTACTAACTTGGGTAAATATTGTATTTTTCCAGTAGAAAATTTTTAAAAAGCATGGAGGCTTGAGAGAAAGTACTAGGAATTCCTTCCTCTCAGGATTATCCAACCATCAGGGTTACCTCACACACTCTTTCCTTGCACATAGAAAGTCCATGAAGAGAGTGGGCTCCAACTTAATATACATGGTAACAAGGCACATGCCAAATGCAGCTAAGGAGTACCTTCTTACTTCTAGCACTAGAGGTCTTTTTACTTGATTCATGGAACTCTTGTAAGGTTCTCCTTAGAAAAAACTCTCTGCCAGGCTTGGTAGATCAGTGCCTTTCTAGAATCACCAGTCAGCACTTCTCTCCATCACAAAGGGTCACCAAGCCTGAAGCTGCTGTCGTCAGGTCTTTCCACATCCATCCTCAGATATCACCTCTACTGTCATCCATTGCTCCCCCTGCTCCCTGAGGGCAGGCACTTTCCCCCCCATATAACCTCAGCCTTTGTAACTTTGCCTTCCACACAGGTGTTTAATATGTGTGTTATTAAAAATTGAATTGAGTTTATTAAAAAAGCAGAAGATTGTAAGTAGGGAGACCAATTAGGATGGTAGACCTTGAAGGCAAGAACTACGTATCTTATTGATTTTTTTTTATTCCCCGCTGCAACTAGCTCAGTGTCTTGCATGTAACAACAGATCAACAAACGCTTGTTAAAATGAATGGCTTCTAAGGGTGGCCCGATGTGACTCAGCCATGTCTGCCACTTACTGTCTCTGTAATCAGTTTCCTCCTGCACCCAACTGAGATCAGGGAGAACAAACAACAGAAGGAGCAAAACCAGGGCAGGAAAAATATATGCAGAAGAGAAGCTAAAGAATTCTTTCCTGACTCAATTTTTGCTTTACTGGCCAGGTATGTTACCAGGTGAAAAATACTAAAGATAAATGTATCGGCCTCTTCCCAGAATTTCTTTGTAGAAGAAAAATAACCAGCTGATAGAAAGTTTATTCTGAACCAGGGAGTTAAAATGGTTTTATTTTGCTGTTCACTTACAAAATACAAGTTTATTCTTCTGTCCCATCCCACAGCTATGATGTACCTAGAATGATAAGAAGTTCAGGAATCAGATAAATGAATTTGTCTATTGCACTTATAAATTGTATTAATTAATCAAGGACCCATGATTTCATGGATTGCAATCCATCTGTAACTTAGTCAAGTTTTAGAGGGCTGAGTGTGTTGGACTAAATGACCTCTAAGCTCTAAATCTAGAATCCTATGAACCCTGACTCCAAAGCCACAAGCTAACAGACAACTTTTTTCATTTTGCAAGACTCAGGGAATTTGTAAGTCTTGAGTAGGATGTTGAGCTTAAGTTATCCTAGGCTGTTAGTCCTGGGTGGTAAGAAAAGCATTCAAAGGGGCATAACATCCCTTAATGACTTATTCTTATGAAAGCAGGCAGTGGTGTTGTTATTTACTTATATAGTATCTTAATGGTATAGTTTATCTTATTTGATACTTATAAGTCAGATATTACGTTATAAGTTAGGTATTAGCCCCATTTTATAAATGAGGAAAAAGAGACTTAAAAAGGTTAAATAACTTTCCAAGGTCACAAGCCTAACAGGGAGGGAAGATTCAAATCTTGGTCTTCTGACTACAAACTTTCACTATTCCATGATACAATTATTCCTGGATTAGAGAGGAGAAGACTGGAAGTAAGGAGATCAATTAGGATAGTAGTGCTCTAGGACAAGTTCTTCATGGCAACCCTTGAAATATCGAGGATGACTTTCATGTCCTGCCCCTTCCACCAAATTTTCTGTCCTCCAACTTAACATTTCTGAAGAACAAGTCTCACTACTGTGGATATAACTTACTTATTTTGATACACTTCTACATAGGTACAGTCACAGACTTCATTGTGCTTTTCATCTGGAAAAATAATGCAGTTAATCAGCTTGTATTCTCAAAAACACTTTAAGTCAATCAGTCATTCAACAAGCATTTATTAAGTGCCTACTATGTGCCAGGGAATGTACTAGACCCTGGGTATATAAGCATAAAGAATGAAATGATTCCTATTCTCAAGGTGCTTTCGTTTCCATTGTAAACCCTTGAATTGTTTTGCTTATTTTGAGTCTGGTTCTACTTGTGAGTAGAGAAGAAATCACTCACTTTTTAAAAGTTAATGGCCACTTCCAGGTCACTATTCAGAGACCCTGCAAGCCAGGAAAGCTTTGCTAATTTACCAAACTGGACCTTATAACCAGAAAGAGATTTTTTTGCTTTTCACAGTGGATAGAGTCCTGGGTCTGGAATCAAGAAGATTTGAATTAAAATTTGGCCTCAGATACTTATTGCAGTTTGATCTTAGGCAAGTCATTTAATCTATCTTTGCCTCATTTTCTTCAATTGTAAAATGAGGATAATATAGCACCTACCTTCCAGGTTGTAGTAAGGATCACATGAGATCATTTTTGCAAAGCATTGAGTTTAGTGCTTTGCACATAGTAGGTACTCAATAAATGTTTGTGTCTTTTTTTTCTTCCTTCCTCATGAGTAGCAATGGATCTATTATCTTTTGACAGCAAATGAGAAGAGCAGGAGTTATGATTTCATGAGGTTTTACACACACATACACACACACACACACACACACACACACACACACACACACACACCCTACCCCCTATTTTACCAAAATTCATTGTAAGACTTTAAATAATCCTTTAACCTGTTCAGTAGCCATTCTTCTTCCTCACAATACTTCTATCAGTAGACATAATAAAAACAAGATTATAGTAGATAAACATGACAATAATTATAGTAATATTGTAAAGAACCCCATTTTACTTTATTAATTATCTTTAGATTTTATGATATTTAGAATATTTAGTAGGGCCTGGGTCCTTTAAGTTTAATGGCATCCATAATATTGATATAAATAATAAAAATTATATAATTATATCAATAGATGCTGAAAAGGTTATTGACAAAATTCTATACTCATTCCTGTCAAGACTCTATAAAGCATAAGAATAAATGGATATTTCCTTCATACAGTAAATAGAATTTATCTAAATCTAACAGCAAACATGATATGTAATAGAGGAAATCTAGACACCTTCCAATAAGATCAGGGATAAAGCAAGGATGCTTATCATTTCTACTACTATTTAATAATATAGTGCTAAAAATGCTAGCTATAGAAATAAACAAGGCCAAAAAGAAGGAAGAGGAGGAGGAGGAAGAGAAGAAGAAGAGAAGTTGAAAGAATAAGCACAAAGAGAAAACAAAATTATTACTTTTTGCAAATGATGTATATCTACCAAGATTCATCTAGGGATTATTTGACTCTAATTATAAAACATTGTTTGCAGATAAAAAAAGACAGGCCTAAATAATTGTGAAAAACTAATCGCTTATGGGTAGGGTGAGTCAACATAATAAAATGACAATGTTACCTAAATGAATTTATTTATTTAGTGCTGAACCAATTAAACTCCCAAAAGAATATTTTATAGAGATAGAAAAAAAATGAAATTCATATGATAAACCAAAGATCAAGAATCTCAAGGGTAATAATGAAAAAAACTGGGAAGAAAAGGAATTTATCAGAACTAGATCTCAAATCATACTACAATGTAGTGGTCATTAAAACAATTTTGGTTTTGGTAAAAAAAAAAAAGATACAAAAAAGAAGCCTATCAGTAGAACAGATCAGGTATACGACATACAGAAACAAACAAATACAACAGTATAGCATCTGATAAACACAAAGAACTCATTTAATAAGGGGAAAGGACTCATTACTGGGGAAAATGCTGAGTACATTGGACAGCTATCTGGCAGCAATTAGGTTTAATCCAACACCTCACACTGTATGTGAAGATAAGTTACAAATGGATACATGACCTAGCAATTTGGAACTGTGCCCAGAAAGTCACCAAACTGTGCATACCCTTTGATCCACTTACACTATTACCAAGTCTATACCCCAAAGAAAGTTTTAGAAAGAAGAAAAGGATCTACATGTACAAAACTATTTATAGTAGCTCCTTTTGTGGTAACTAAAAATTGGAGATTAAGTGGATGTTCTATGGGGGAATGGCAAAACAAATTGAGTTTTATTAAGGCAATAGAATATTATTGTATCATAAGTAGAAAATTTCAGAAGAAACTGTGAAGATCATTATGAACTAATGCTGCAAAACTAGGAAAACAACTTATACAATGATAATATTATAGAGAAAAAGAATTTTGAAAAGCTTTAGAATTCTGATCAATGAATCAATAAATCATTAGTACAAAAGAATGAAGATGAAACCTGCCACACCTCCTGACAGAGGTGATGAACTTAATGCAGAAAAAGACAAATATTTTTAGACATGACTGGTGTGGGCATTTGCTTTGCTAGACAATGCTTATATCTATTGTAGAATTTATTTTTTACTTGAAAAAAAATGCTCAGTGTGGAGATGACATGGATTAATTAAAAAGAAAAGAAGCTTGAAAAAAAAGAAACCTGGTAGTACAACGAAGGGAAGAGACATTTACTGGGGGTGAGGGAGTAGGGGAGGAGTGTGAGTGAGTGGATTAGAAATAGCTATCACATACATTTATTTTAAAGTAGCCTCTCCTAAAAAAAAGTTCAAAGTCACCCAGAAAAGGAAAGGGCATAGAGAAATTCTACAGAAATTATGCTCATGACCACTGTAAAAACCATCTGGAGGAAGAAAATTTCAGAGGAAGCCAAGAATTTAACATGGACCACAGTTAAAGATAAAGGAAAATTGTACCTTTAAGTTAAATAGTAGAGACTAGGGTGAAGTCATGATAGCTGAAGAAAAGAAATTTTAAAAGGCAGGCAATGCCTAAGAGCTTATTTGATTGGTTATAGTCCAGGTCTGAATTCAAAGAACTGAGGTGGCTCTGGGAGCTATGAACTAAAAGAGCTGATAAACTCCTATACAGATCAGAGCCTATCACAGCTAAGGCCAGCACTGCCAGTAAATAACCTACCAAGAGCAGCCCCATCCACAGAGGCAGCAGTGGAGAGTAGGAAGCAAAGAATAGCCTAAATGGATTGTCAGCAGTTCTGTGGGAGAGATCCCTGGACATGCATCTTCCCTCCCACCTATGATATGGGGATCTGTGAGAGAGTCCATCCCTATCTATAAGGGGAGAATTTTTTTTCATTATTTATTTTGCTGGACTGTTTAGTTAAATGTCTTTTACTTTGGCTTGAGAATTTGGTTGGTCTGGTAAAAGAAATACTGGTGGGGGCTCAGAAGCTTTAGTTTGTTTTTCTGTGTGCTTTGAACCTGGGGGATCTTTCATCAGGTTCAGGGTTTTATTGCTGGGGCTCGTTAAGGATTTCCATTGTAACCTTAACATTGCTGGGATCTATTCAAGATTTTTACATATTTTTTTCTAGCTGTGATTTTTTTACATATGGTTTTTGCAGATGAGACCAGTGATTTTAAAAACTATCATCCCGTTCTTTCTCAAGATGTCATTGATGTGTTGTTTTTGCATCGCTTAGTCAGATATTAGAGATCTTGTACACAGCAATATAACTTGACTCTCATTAAGTACTGTTGATATGAGGGGTTAACAAATGACTGTGAGGCAGATTGTACTGGAAAGACTCTATGTCATACTGTGGTCACTGTGGGGGTATTATAGGGCATGAACAGGGATGAAGAAGAAGAAACAGTAGCTATGTTTTATAAACTGAGACAGTAGTACATTTCAGCATCCTTAAAGTCATAATTGTTAACGGAATTGTTTGCTAACTAGCGGCTTAATTCCCTACCAGGAGATGGTGAGAATGTTCAAAGACATCATAGTGAGAGAAGAATGGATTGTGGATGATGTGAGAGGCCTTCTAGTGGGCACAGCACCAACCCCAGCAATTAAGGATACAAGAGGAATAGTTATACCATCTATAAAAATCAAAGACCAGGAATACACACCTTTCCTCCACAACCATTGATCTTGTGGCAGTTGTTATTCATGAGGGGAAGACTACCTACTTGTTAGCACTACTATATGGGTCTAAGATGGAAAGCAGAGATCCATCTTAGAGATGCATCCCTTTCCATCCATTGTGGAACATCTTCAACACCTTGCTAGAAACGTCCACACAGATGACACGAGTGACGGGAGACTGATACAGAGACACAGGGATAATTATTAGAGAACCTCAGATGACCTTTTTATATCATTGTGTATGTACACTAACATCTTTTCACCCAGAGGTCATGGGTTTTAAATGTCTATGGATGCGGGGTGGCCAATTTGGCAGCATGAGAAGGAAACCTATGTGAAGTTCCTAGTGTATTTAACTATTATTTTGGGGAATTTATTGTCTGTATGCCATACCACCAAAAATATTTAGAATTTAATGCTATAACACTCAAAATAAATTGAATCAAGTCTTTCCCTCAAAACATTGGCCTATAGATAAGTTCAGTGAAGGAATAACACCTAACCCATCCATAACACTTTCAATCCCACTTTGGCCCTACCAAGTGCACATACTCTTATATTCTAAGATCTGGAGAAATAGAAATCACTTGCCTTGGGTCAGAGTTTTCAGACAATGCCCATTGTTGTAGTTCCAGATTCTTAAACACCCATCTCTACCACCAGTGACCAGCCTGAGGCAGAAGTAAGGTTTATTCATTAAGATCCGAGACCAAGAGGTTCAATGACAATTCTGAGTTGAATAGAAAATTGAGAATGACTGTACCTTCTCCCACTGGAATCAAAAGTCAGGCAGGTGATTTCTGCATTGCCATGAGCTCCAATAAATTCAGACAATAACATTCCTGTTTCAAAATCCCACACTTTAATCACCTATGTAAGGGAAAAAGAAAGACTGAGCAAAATGTTTGAAATAGGGATTACAATGATTACAGATATAAAAGGAATTTCCATTTAAAGACAAGAATCATGGAGGTCAAAACCAAAAAGAGATACCAGCTTTAGCTATGGTTTCCCAAGAATAGGCTACATTAGTGAGAAGGTTAGAAGGTTTCAGTCATTTTTTTTTAAAGAAACCGTAGGGTAAAAAGGATCCAACTTTCTCTGCTTGGTGGAGACAGCATCTGAATATATTTGAATCAATACAAATTGTAGGCATTTCCCTAATGAAGATGTAGAGAAATGGGAAAGCTTCCCACTTTTTAATTTTATTCTTTTCATTCGTATTTTTTATTATTTTTATTTTCTGATATATTTCCCCTTTCCTCATTCCCCTAGTCAAAGGGCTATCACACATAACAAACTTTTTAAAATCAGTTCAGCAAAACTGACCAATACATCAGCCAAGTTGGACAGTGCATGCAGTGTTCCATACCCATAATCCTCTAGCTCTATGAAGAAGGGCAGGAGATGCATTCTCATTTCTTCTTTAGTATCAAGCTTGGTCATTATATTTATATAATGCTCAGTTTCAATTTTTTGTTATTGTTCTTTCCATTTATTTTGTTATAATGGAAGGTTCTACTACTTTGAGTCAGGTCATATAATTCTCATGATTTTCTGCATTCATCACTTTTTACAGCACAGTAATATTCAATTACAATCATCTAAAATACCTTTTTAGCCACTTCCCAATTGATGACATCCACCTTGTTTCTAGATTTTAGAACATTTCCCATTTTTTGAGAGGTGATAGTGGTACTTGTGGGGGCAGCAGTGGTAGTGGCATTTTCTCCTCCTATGATGCTTGACACCATTCTACCTTTTGGCTATATCCACTCCTGATCAGATATCACTGTCTTTTTTTCACTACTTGATTTTTTTAGCATCCACTGCATCAGATTAGGGGGCCAAAATTAAGCAGGTTTAGGTAGGACCATTTCAAAAGCAGCTGGATGGCCACTTATCTCTAACTGGGAAAGGAACTAGCTACCCCCAAGATCAGCTTCCCAAGGTAGCCAAAGGGACCAAAGCCCTTAAGATGATAAATCTTAAAAAAAAAGTAATCCTTTGTCAGTTTACATATTTTCATAAATATTAATAGCACGATTCTCATCTACCATTTTATAATACAAGTATGGCCTCCAGTGGCATTCCAAATAAGAGTTGTACAAGTCACTCTCTTTCTCTGCATGCATTGCAAAATATTATAAATAGATCTCCAGCTGAGAAAGGCCTCATTTCCTAGGTCACCCTATAAAGCAGAGGCTGCCTTGGCACATTATAGGTAGTTATACCTACAATAAATTCCTTTAATTCTATTTACCCTGCTTTAGATGTTGTGAATTATATCATTAGCAAAATAATTTGAACAAGATGGTGCATTCTTAAAACCCTAGTATGGGCTGGTTTAGTGAAAAGAGCCCTGGGCTCAGAATCAGAACACTTGAATTTAAAATTTATTTCTGACACTTCTTAGCTATATAACTCTGGGCAAGTCATTTCAATTCTCTGAGCCTTGGTTTCCATATCTACAAAAATAGGGATGACAACATAGTACTACATACATCATGGAGTTATTGTGAAGCAATTAAAACATTATATGGTGGAGCTATTATAACATAAATCTGAGTTATTACAATCCAACAAATATTTATTGAGTGCCTATTATATGTCTACCATTATACTAGATATTGCTGGGAATGTAAAAAAAAATAACACATGGTCTCTGTCCTTTAAAAGCTTAGAATCTTAATCATACCACATTTATATAGTGTTTGAAGTTTAACAAAATGGTTTTCTCACAACAACCATATGAGGTAGGTAATTCAAGTAATCCTAACTGATTATCTTAACTTATTATTATTCCCCTTTACTACTGTACTACTGTACCTTCCAGACAGATTGAGCTTCTTACTGTTTCTCACACATAATGTTCTTCTCCTAGCTTTGTTAGTCTTTTCAAAGAACAGGTTTTTAGATTGATCATTTCTATATCATTTTTATTTCAAATTTATCTATTTTTACCATTTTGTGCTTATTTAGGGTTTTCTTTTTTGTTAGCTTTCCAATTTTTTTGAAATGAATATTCAGTTCATTAATTCTCTCTCTTTCTATTTTGTGAATGTATGTATTTAGTGATATAATTTATCATTTTCTAGGGACTGCTTTAGCTACTTTCTAGAAATCTGGTGTGTTATTTTATCATTACCATTTTCTTTTGGTCAATAGGCAATAGTCAAACAACACTTATCAACCTACTCTGGGCCTGTACTAAGCACTGAGGATACAAATACAACAAAGAAAGACAGTCTGTGCCCTCAAATAGTTTAAAATACAATGGGAGAAGATGACACACAAAAGCTGGAAGGGAAGGGACTCCATGTAAGAGCATAGAAGAGAAGTCACAGAATTCCCAAAGTAGTGCAGTCAGCTGGAAAATGAAATGTCTATCCTGAGTTTCCTTCTTAAATGGGTGTTTTGGAGTTCGTTACTGTGCCTTTTAACCAGAGAGACAGAGGATAGTGATAAGGTGAGAGTACTAAGGGTGATTCAGTCTTGCAAGAGAAGAGGTTTTCCAGTGATGGGGTTACTGGAGTGTGGTGGAGAAGTCAGGGAAGGGAAAAGGGAAGAGAATACACATTTATATAGCACTTACTATGTGCCAGGCACTGTATTACATACTTTACAAATATCTCATTTGATTCAAGAAGTCCCAATGTAGTGCAGTCAGGTGGGAAATGATTATTCATTTTTCATAATATTAATTATTCCTATGATTTATTCTTTAACCTATTTATTACTTAGTATTTAATTATTAAGTCTCCATTTGTATTTGTGTTTTTTGTTTTTGATCCCTGAACTGATTACTGTTTTTATTGTTAACAGTCTACAAAGCATGTGTTTACTATTTCGGCTTATTTTACATTTATTTGAAATATATCTTTGCCCCAATATATGGTCAATTTTTGTAAAAGTTTCATATTCTACATGAAATATGTACATTCTTTAGCATCTCCATTTAGAAGATGCCATAAGTCTTTTTGCTCTAATTTCTCCAGCAATTTGTTCAATTCTCTCTTTTGTTTATCTTTCTGTCAAATTTGTCCAAAACCGAGAGAAGGGACCTTAAAGTCTCCAGCTATTACTGTATTGTTGTCTATGTCTTCTTATAATTCCATTAATGTTCCTTTTATGAATTTAGATGCTAAGGCATTTGAAGCAATATTGATATTCATTGGTTGTCTATGGTTCCTTTCAGCAATATGTAGTGTCTTTGTTTAACTCTTTTTATGTTTTGAAGTTTTGTTTTTGCTTTGTCTGATACAGTGATTACAACTCTTTGCTTTTTTTGCTGTCATCTAATGGATAGTCAATAGCGTTTCAGCCCCTCATCTTCATTCTGGGTATATCTTTTTAGTTGCATTTCTTGTCAAAAACAGATTGTGAAATTTTGTTCTAATACAATTTGTCACTTTCATTTTATCAAATTGTTTGAATACATTTACATTTAAAGTTATGAGAGTTAGGTCTATATTTTCCTTCATTTGTCTCTAATATCGTTTTTTTTTTAAATTAGGATTTTGTTGTTGTTCCTCTTCCTCTGTAAAGACAGTTCTTTATATCTTCAGTTTTTTTTTTAATCTTCTTTAAAGCAACCCTATTTCCATGGGCTTACTTCCTTTCACTCTCAATCCCCTTCCCAGATGATCCCACTTTGTTTGCTAACCTTTCCCTAGTTTTGAAGTTTTATTTAACTTATTCCTTTTTCTTTCTTCTTTTTGCCTAGTTCTCTAATTCTTCTCTTCCCCTTCTTTTTTCCTCCCAGCTAAGTAGTAAAGTAAAATCCCTCTTCCTTTCCTCATTTTCAACTTCCTTTGTTAGTTTCTAAATTTTTCTGTGTCTTTTTATAAAAAGGATTTCCTTCCCTCATTTTTCTACCTTTCTCTCTGTTTTAGACTTTTATTATGCCATTCATAGTCCTTATGCCTATTTATTCCTTCTTTAATCTCTTAATAATGCCTGCCTGGTAATAAGCACTTTATAAATTCTTTTTGGCTAACTGACTGTATTCTCTTTCATAGAATTAAAGCTTCCAAGGTACCTATTTTGAATTCCCTATTCTAAATAATTTCATGTTATTTCTTTGTAAATCTTACCTCCTCTTTTTTCCTCTTATGTTTCACTTAGCCATATGAGTTTCTACAGGAGATAAAGAGGATAGAAGCATTGCCTCACAGTAGAAATTTTTCTATGTCCCTGATTGTATGGTTAATTGCTAACCCTTATCCTCATGATTGTTTTTTCCCCATTTGCCTCTCTTCGTTCATGCCATCTGAACCTTCTGGATGTCAGGAGCTCTGTTTCCCCTTTTCCTGTCACAGAATGCTGTCAGTGGAGGCACCACACTTAATAACAATAAAAATATTAGTTAGTATTTATATAGTCCTTATAATCTCATTTGAGCTCCACACAACCCTGTGAGGTAGGAGCTATTATGATCACCATTTTACAGTTGAGAAAACTGAGACAGAGGTTTATATCATTTGCTCAAGGTCATACAACTAGTAAGTGTCTGAGGCTGGATTTTAACTCGGACTCAAGATCCAGTATTTTATCCACTGAGTTTCCTCTTTCAGAGGTAATGGTCTTTTTAATAACCAAATCCCTCCAGACTATAGTCATTATAACATCTCCATCTCTTGCATTGGTTCCCAAAGTGGGCAATACCACACCCTGGGGAGCGCTGGAATGATCCAGGGGGAATGGGGGGGGGAAGCGGTAGTAGCCTCCAGCAAAGCAAATTTCAAAAAAAAAACATTAAAGTCTTAAAGAAAGTAAATTCCCATGGGGGGGGGCTGAGTAATTTTTTTTAAAAAGGGGTGGTAGGCCAAATAAGTTTAGGAACCTCTGCTAAAGTACCTTTCTTCTTC